GTAGCTGTAAGGAAGACCATGGAGACACGCGGAGTGTCCACTCCCACTTCGCAAGCACAGAGTGACGCAGAAGCCAGACATTAACTAATTGAACGTAAGTTCAATTTACAGATAGTTAAAAGATAAAGTTTAAAAATGCTAAAAAAAAATGTTCACAATCTATTTACATCCTTACTCTAAGAGCAATGTAACGTTATCTTACGTCCTGACATGAAATTGACCTCTTTTATTCCAGCTAAAGTATTTGAATATTTAAATATATCTGTGACATTCCATGATTTGCTTTTTTTTTTTTTTTGGATTTTAGGGAAGGGTCTACAGGGTGTTCAGGGTCTCACTACTAGATTGAATTTGAAGTGATCTGCCTGTTTGCAGCTTCCCAAGAGCTGGGATTACAGGTGCCTGCTGCGATACCCAGTCTTAATCACTGTCTCAGCGTGCCCCAGGGGTGGGGCTGGCAAGGCAGGTCTGGGGATCGAACCCCTGGCCCTGCGCCTGCTTGCAGGCACTTTAATCCGCTGAGCTATTTGGCTGGCCCTGCTTTGCTTTTTGATTAAGAGAATTACAATTATTTAAAGAATCCCAAGAATATACATACTTAAGCTAAGCTTTGCCAGGAAAGTAGCCTTGTTTAGTTCTGGGAGGTCCTTGACTTAACACAAAATCTATGCTTGTAAACTCAGGGTGCAATTTCATAAATCATATGTTTCTGGCTTCTTAGTTTTACTCTTCTGTTTGGGGGAAAGATAAGTTAGCCTTTATAATTTTTATTTTCAGTTTCAATGTGACTAAAATATTTGTTAAGTATTATGTTAAAGCAGTTTAACAGAGAATTTGTAATCTTCTGGAATATTTGCATTTGCCCACTGATTAGTATGAATTGCTATTTTAGAAATCAGTTTTTAAAATTAAATCAGCCTTGATGAATTGGCTAAATACCAGGCTCCTATTAATTGAAAACTAAAATCATAGAATATAAGTGGAATTATTTTCTAAATTTATTTCAGATTGTTTCTGTCATATAAAAATGCATCATATTTTTTAAATAAATCTTTTTTATTTTTTTAAATGTATTTATTTGTGTGTGTGTGTGTGTGGCCAGCTCAGCCCACCAGGGGGCAGGGCTGGCTGGCATGTGGGGCTGGGGGATTGAACCATGGTCCCTGTGCTTTGCTAAGCTTGTTCTAAGTAGGTGCTTTAGACCACTGAGCCATCTCACCAGCCCAGAATGCATCATATTTTTAATTATTCATCTTGAATCCTGAAACATTGATGACCTCATTTATTCTACAATTATTCTTTGATCCTCTACGATTATATATATATATAAATTCTTTCTTTGGGTGCCCGCATTGCTGGCTGCTTGCACATGACTGTGAAGACCTCTGTCCTCACTGAGACTCTGGTTTCCCTAGGTGCTGAGGTGCGGTGGTCCAGCTGCAGCATCTTCTCCACACAGGACCATGCAGGGGCCGCCATTGCCAAGACTAGTCTTCCAGTATATGCCTGGGGGGGGGGTGAAACAGATGAGGAGTACCTGTGGTGCATTGAGCAGACTTTGTACTTCAAGGAGAGGCCCCTCAACATGATGATGGTGGTGACCTTACCAACTTTATTCACACCGAGTACCCACAACTTTTGTTGGACATCCAAGGCATTTCTGAGGAGACCACAACTTAGGTACACAACCTACACAAGATGATGGCCAAGGGGATCCTGAAGGCACCTGACATCAACATCAATGACTCTGTCACCAAGAGAAAGTTTGACAACTTCTATGGCTTTCAGAAATCCCTCACAGATGGCATCAAACGGGCCACAGATGTGATAACTACAGACAAGGTTGCAGTTGTAGCAGGCTATGGTCATATGGGGCAGGGCTGTGCCCAGGCCCTGTGGGGTTTCGGAGCTCTTGTCATCATCACTGAGATCGACCCCATCAATGTGCTCACACTGCCATGGAAGGCTATGAGGTCACTACCATGGATGAGGCCTGTCAGGAGAGCAACATCTTTGTCACTACCACAGGCTGTGTGGACATTATCCTCAGTCGGCACTTTGAGCAGATGAAGGATGATGCTGTTGTTTGTAACACTGGACACTTTGATGTGGAGATTGATATGAAGTGGCTTAATGAGAATGCTGTGGACAAGGTGAACATCAAACCCCAGGTGGACTGCTATCAGCTGAAAAATGGGCGCAGCATCATCCTTCTGGCTGAAGGCTGGCTAGTCAACCTGGGTCGTGACATGGGTCATCCCAGCTTTGTGATGAGCAACTCCTTTGCCAACCAGGTGCTGGCGCAGATTGAGATGTGGACTCACCCAGACAAATACCCTGTTGGGGCTCAATTCCTGCCCAAGAAGCTGCATGAAGCAGTGGCCGAGGCCCACCTGGGCAAGCCAAATGTGAAGCTGACCACGCTGACTGAGAAGCAAGCCAAGTATCTGGGCCTGTTCCATGATGGCCCCTTCAAGGCTGATCACTACCGCTATTGAGAACCAGAGATGCCCTCACCTTCCAGTGGCTGTCCTTGTCCAGGCCCACTTCTTCCCAAGAGCAAATGGCACTGATTCTGCAATTGTTTTCCCAGTGTTCTCCATGGGCCCCTTGGGACTGATCATTCTTCACACTGTTCCAGGTGTGGCAGGGGGAACAGAGAGGTCCCAGGCAAGACGGAGGTACAAAAGAGATATATTTGGGGAACCAGGAGCTCTGAGTGCTTGAAAGTGTTCAGTCAATCAGTCCTCCTTAGGCTGGAAGTCGGTAGGGTGGTCACAAAGGCCATGCATGTTATCAGGCAGGCCTACATCTGGCCTGTGCACTTGGACCTGTGTGCTTGGTTTACAAGTTTACTAATCTCCGAGTCCATGGAGCCACATCATAGGGCAAAGAAAAATTGGGAGTTTAAATGTTTCTGAGAGCTTGGGTTATTTAGTGCTGGAGTTTCTTGTAATTCTCCAAATATTGAGGTTGGTCCTTTTAGTCGCTATTTCACAGGGATTAGAATAGACCATTAAGAGATAGTCAAGAAGGGACAGAGGTAATTGCCAGAGGTCAACAGGGACCAAACAGGCATGATGTATCCTCACGTAAAATGATGGCTCCTACATCACAATCCTATGTCAAAAAAACTAATTTGGTTTATAATGTATATATGATGTTCAGACTATTACAAGACAGCAGGAAGGTGGATAAATAAAAATTTTGGTATCTGAAAAAAATTCTTTCTTCTCAGTCTGGAGCCTTTTTAAAATTTTTTCTTCACCTAGTTATTACACTTCAGTACAAAGTTCTGAGTGTGACCAGGTAGGAGAAAATCGACATTTTTAACATTAAGTCTAATGCTAGTAGAATTTTTCCTTTTAATTCGGAGTCAAACTCACATTTAGGAATTTTATTACATAGATCTCAAAAAATAGTTGATTAGCGAAATGAAACAAAATCATTCCGATGTTCTAAATAACTCTTTTAGAGCTAAGTGAATTTGGCTAGAGTTATGTTAACACTCTGCACCAGGCACTGACTTAATCATGTATTACGAAGATATCCACGACCCATGATCTAAAGCTTGCTTATGTTCAGTGAGAGTGATGATCATAATGCCTATGACGAGCAAAATGTTTTTCTATTTTATACACTGGCACTGCAGATAGCCTAAACATGCTCACAGTTACTAGGGTTGTTTTTGACAAGCTATGATATCCAATAGGACTAGGGCGCTATCAACATTTATTCTTTCCATTTTGCATTGTTTACTTATTCTAACTTATAACGTCAACAGCTCATTTTTAGAATGACAGTTTATAACATATTGGTTTCCCCCTGAATTCTATTGTTTAGGAAGAATTGATGTCAAAATCCTCTATTTGTAGTAAAGTAATCAATTAGAATCTCATTACATAATGTCATTCTGCATGCAGACATTCCATAATCATAAAGTCTTTTAGAGCGATTAATGACAGAATGTATTTGATTTCTGACTTAAACTTTCATGAAAAGTAATAAATCACACTATGGATCTACTAAATCGATGAAAAAGACAGATCAAAATTTCCCAGTACTTTCACAAAAAATTTACTAGGTTGTAAAATTTTATTTTATCTAAGAAATACAATTATTGATCAGTCTCCTGTTCTATTTTACTCTTTCAACTCTACACTGAAATTCATTTCACCAAAGCTTGAAATTTTCCATCTTGCTGTAACATGATCTATGAACCACATATAAAGAGGGAGAGATCTGAATTTCTTTTGTATCCTTCAGCTTTTTTTCTTCAAGCACAAGATACATGTCAGAGAAATATGTGATAGCTATAGTTAGGAAAAACCCAAAACTTAAATGTAGTAGCATCAACCACTCGGGGGATTAAGCCCTTAGGCAGGTCACACTCTGACACAACACAAGGAGGGCTCCCTGTACTAGGAGGTTAACAAAGAGCCTTTAACGAAGCTTGTCAAGAAACTTTCCTGGATTGTTAAGAACTTCATGAATATGTCTGTATCTTATTAATTATCATCTATGGATGTGACACTTTGACATAGTTTTAGAAAATTGTATAATTCCCATTTAAGACACTTGCTCATATAGCCGGCCTATCCCACATTTCTTACTACTGGGGAACACAGAACATCAGTTTAAACATTTCATATAATAGCCAAGTATTGACAGTCTTTATTTATAGTCTTTATCGCTCAGATAAAAAGCTAGCATTTAACTTGACAAACATTCACACTGTAATTAATGGCAAAGTCAACATTGTAATTAATTAAAAAAATCTCTTTGACAGACACCAAGCTGATCTGCATAAAAATACATTGAACTAAGAGAAAGTAGCTGTATAACTGCCAGAAATATGATAATCATTATAATAAAGTATCCTATGAATTATGAAAGTATACAGCCTAACCATTTATTGGAACATTATTTTAAGTGACAACTAAAATCTGCTTAAATGCATGAGTGATTTTTATAGAAAGTAGAAAACAAACAGTTCTTACCAAGTTTGCAATGATGTAATGGTAGCCTTTAACATGCTTCCCAACACTGACAATCTGTGGGGACAAAAAGGAAGGAGAAAAAAATCAGCTTGATTTTGATAAGAGATTATTTTTATTTTGTATTTTTTAATCTCCTTTTTAAAATTAATTTTATTGAGAAAGAAATAGCAAGGAGACAGTTTCAAAACAGATAAGTAGGACACTTACAATAATTAATACATTACATATTGTTGTCTTTGTAGTAGTTATTCATAGTACAAGATGCAGACATGATATCTTGTCTAAACACTATTAGTTCAAAACTTTCTTCTCATGGAACTAAGAGAAAGTAGCTGTATAACTGCTATATAGGATTTCAGGGTAAATCCTGAGGGGATTTAACTAGCCTTATCAGATACAAAAGTAACATTTTTTGTTATATAGGTCTCGCTTTATCTTGGTCTTAACCATCTAGCAGAAAAGTATAAACACGAGGTATAAAAAGTAAAGCCATATTAATATGCTGAGCTGTAAAAGGCTCAAGTCAACAACTTCTGACATTGCCAGTCCTATGGATAACCCACTACTATTAGGGACTACTGGACTATATTGGATTATTTTGCTGAATTCATGCACCTACGATATTTAAATGACAATGGAATACCCATCTCTGACAAAACTAAACAAAAAAGGGGGATATAAATGAAGGACCATTTCATAGTGAAAAAAATATATCTGTATATTTGAAAAAGAGATTATTTTTAAGCATTTCCCCTTTTACCATGATTTCATGTGGAACTGTGATAGGAAAACAACACTGTTTTTCTTATAAGAGCGATAAATTATAATGAATTTGATGGGCCCCACTGAAAATAAGTGATTATTATTATTTTTTTTGACAACTCATACAGAATTTTACTTAACAAAGTAATATGAATTTCACAGTATTTGTTGTAATACATGGTATTGTCTTACAACAATATTATAATTGTTGTAAGCAACGTAGCACCACCAAGGCTGTTCATTTTCCTTAGTGGGTAGGGAAGATCATTTATGAATAAAATAGGTTATTGTGTTGAATACGAAGCAATGCATGTTTAAATGCACAGCAAAGCATAGTTAACTCTCATCTGTGTATGGAAATTTCTAAAATGATAATTAGGGACCGGCCAAATAGCTCAGTGGATTAAAGTGCCTGGAAGCAGGCGCAGGGACCAGGGGCTTGATTCCTGGGCCTGCTGTGCTGGCCCTGCTCCCTGGGGCATGCTGAGATGCAATTGAGACTGGGAGTGGTGGCATGCACCTATAATCCCATCTCTTGAGAGGCTGTAAACAGGCAGATCATTACGAGTCTGATCTAGTAGTGAGACCCTGAACACCCTGTAGACCCTTCTCTAAAATAAAAATAAAAAAATTAAAATTAAAAAAAATGATAATTAGAACAAAACTATATCAAAAATTTTTACTTTTTCTGCTGGGTTCATTTTTTTCCCCAAGAATTATTTCAGGAGTACTCAGAAAAATATAAACTCAGAAATTTTAAGGAAATAAACAAACATTTTTATGTGCAGTTTTGTTTCTCCATTAGAGGTAAAAATCTTCTATAAAAATGAAAATTTCTTCCATAAGAGATAAAATCTAATTGCAGTTACTGATGAGAAGTTTTGTGACCTCACAGGTGCCCACAATGTAAGATTTTTTTTTGTTTTTCTACTATGAAAGAAAAAATTCTAATTGATTTTAGCTTTTTAAAATCCTCCAAAGACAGTTCTTTTGCTTGAGGGAGTTGTGTTCAAAATAGAGAAAATCTCTTAAAACCAGAATATATTAATTGTCCTGGAAACAAATTTTTTTTATATAACTTTGGTGGCATGTAATTTCTGTTCATCTCACCCTTCTCCTTTGACTATATATACACTTTCTTTTCTGACTTTAAAGTGCTGCAGCTTGAATTGTTCAACTGGCTTGGATTTTCATGCTGAAATATAGATTTACATGGCTCACAGTTTATTATCACCCGACCATGAGAATTGCCCTCTGGAAAATTCTAAGCCAGCATCACTTAAAATATTTCCCCAAAGATGTTTTGTGATTGCTTATACAGGAACTGCAATGTTAGTATCACTAGCCTGTCACCACTTTTACAATAATTTCTCAAATTCTGAATTCCCTGGTCATAAAATGAGGCACAAATTCAAAATACAACCTGCCAAAAGAAGAGGCTGTTATCATGCTCGGGGCAGGTACTTCCCTCATCACAGTAAGTCCAGGCTACTAATGAAAATCCATAATTGACTCCGTCTACATGGGGCACATATATTTTTCCTGCTCCACTTTTTTTTATTGGATTCTGGACTTTGAATGGTTGAGGTTTACAAAGGGCCCATGATCTGATTTGTGGTTTTGACTGATTCCAGAGTGCTTGTTCTTGGGTGAGCCTTAAATGACCAAGCAGACTACCCAACGCAACGACTTCATCACAGAGTGGTCTAGCTCTTACCATTTAAGACTTCCTCTGTTTACTTGAAAGCTCACTTCTCTATTTCTAAAAAAATTCCATAGCATTTCTAAGCCATTTGTATTGCTGGATGTTTCTAGTCCTCAATTTGTTGAAAGCCAAACTCCCTGAGATGACCTTACCACGAAGAGAGGACAAGTAATAAATACACCAGTTATGCAGGTTGGTGAAGAATCAGTGCAAGGAATCATACCAGGCAATCTAAAGCTGAGTGATCTCTTATAAGCTGTTCAGGCTGGAGCCATTTTCTTCTCTAGAAATTTCAGGTACTGGTTGTGCAAAGGACAGCAGTCAGACATTTGATAATTGCTACTCAGTTGGAAAAATGCTTACTCTAGTAATGAGTCTGCTATTAGATTCATGCCTCTTGGCCTCTGTGGGGATTGATGCCACTCAGTGTCCATTGTTTATTCTCTTCCTGTCTCATTGTTCCTGACAGTCCTGGGTGTGCCTACTTGAACCTTCTTGTACTTTCTTTAAGCCCTCCTCCCTACCCTGTTTCTTCCTTCTTGACACTCTCAGCTTGTGATTTCCGTGCAGTTGCAGTCAAAATCCTGTCAAACATCCATTGTGATGTAGAACCCCTTGTGCTTGTTGAAAAGACGCAGGGCTGGTGGAGATTTGTGGTGGGCATCTCCACGGAGAAAGGGCTGTCAGCTCTCTCCTTTAGAACTGCATCAGCGTAGCAGGGAACCATCATCAGTCAAACTCACGTGACACAATTTCAAAGGATGAAGACTTATAAAACTGAAAGGAACTGGAAGAGTGAAGAATCTTGGCAGCAACTGTCTTGTAGGGTTTGCTATGCATTGATGTGGAGGGAAGTGAGGGGACCAGAGATCTGAAGATTTGTTCACCTGCCTGGAGATGCTGGCCTGATGACGGTCTCTAATGACCAGGTCCTTGCTGGGAGAGTTCTCCTCAGGGAGTGCTCCTGTCACCATCACCTGGGGTGGCTGTGGTCCCCCTGTTAAGTATCCAGCTTTAGATGAAAATTGTTTGTGAAAAAAATTCCATTTACATGCCATGAAATAATGTTTTAAAAATAGAATGCTGCTTTTTTTTTTTTTTTTTTTTAAAAAAAAACTGTGTAAGTCTAACAACCTCATTGTTGTTTTTCTCACCCCTTCCAAAGTGAAGCATGTTTTATATAAAATTCATCTGAGAAGCTTGAGTTTGGGAGCAGAAAGACCTTGTGTCTCTATCTACTGGACATTTTTTCTTCGGAAATATTCTAGTGAAACAGAACGATCCAAGGTGAAAGGTATAGGTGTAGTTCAATCCCCGGTTCCGCAAAAAAGAAAAGAAAAGAAAATTTGGACAGCTTTGGAGTTGGGGAGATGGCTCAGTAGAATAAGTGCCTCCCTGGCAAGCACAAGGGCCTGAGTTTAATCCCCACGTTCTGAAAAAAAAAGGTATAGTGTAAAGTGGCACTGCCTGCACACCAGTGTGAAAGGCGGTTTCCGTGGGATGATGACGTCTACAACAAGGACTTCATTGTTAAACTAATTACAACCTCTTGCATAAAGATAGACACACGCAGGGATGAAGAAGCTGTGTCTTTTAAGAGGAACAAAGGATGCAGCTAGAGAAGGAATAGAAAGCATATGTTTAGAGCTTTGAAGGAAAGTTCAGGAAGGATGTGGAAGTACACTGTCACCACTTTGAGTCAATCTTTACAAAAATAAAACATCTAAGAGACAAGGGCCTGAGTTCAATACCCAGTTCTGGAAAAAACAAAACAAAACAAAACAAAACAAAAAAAAACCCTAAGAGAAGAGACTAGAATCTTTTAACTGTTTTTCTTTGTTTTGTAGGAAATAACTGATTAGATATATCTGTAGTGCTGGTGAAATAATTTAACTATAAAATCAGGGTTATACACATACATATTAACAAGGTAAATACTAGATATAAACATTAAATTTATTTTTGTTCACCTATTTTGGGAAAATCAGTATTTGTAAATATAACTTCTAGGACTTGTGTCACTAATTAAAGCTGGGGATGACGCCACAGCCTGACCCTCAATCTTGGCTTCCAGCTTGTCCTTGCCTTGCCTTTCAGTTCAGGTCAGCAAAAATGAATAGACTGCCTTGTGTGGGGGTTCCAGAACAGGAGACTGGAGGACAGGACAGCCAGTGCTCAGTCACTGCAGTGTGTACTGCCTCCTAAGGGCAAAAGAGCTGGACGGAAACAACTGATGCACAAGGCAGAATAAGGCGGGTGTCAGTGATATCAAGGAGAACATGATATCAATTTCTAGGGAACACAAGGTACATTTTAAATGAATAAAAACTAACTATTGACTAGGTGGCTAATTAAAAAGCAAAGCAGGATGTAAGTGTCGCAAACATTAATATACAAAGTCACTGTGAGTGTTGTAAATGTAAATGAATGAGAGTTTGGCCTTCAATTCATAGTGAGCTTCTCTGCTAATCTTTTATGGCTTTCAGAGCACTCGGAAGCTTTCTATAAGGAATGCTGAGTATTACTGGAAACAATCGCTGTGAAGCTGTGATTGCCACATCCAACAATATTTGCTAGTTAAAGTCAT